GGGGAGGAGTGAGCGAGCGGCTGTGTGGTGCTCAGTTGCCGACTGAGGTTAAACCACGACATGGGCGACTCATTACAAGTGGAGTTCCTCGGGGCTCTACCCTGGGACATACTCTGTTTCATATCTGTATCAAAACCCGGAGGAGGACACCGAATAGGCCCTCATCAAGTTTGCGGATGCCAAAACGGGTGATGCAAGTGACTTGTACAAGGGCAGGGCTTCCATTCAGAGGGACCTTGATATGCTACAGACATGGGCTGGCAAAACTTGTGAAGATGAGGACAAATACAAAGTCCTGCATCTGGGCTAGACTAAGCCCCACAGCACTACAGGCTGGGGACTGACTGGCTGGGGAGCAGCCTGGATGAAAAGGACCTGGGGGTCCAGGTGGGCAGTGAGCTAAGCATGAGTCCACAGCGCACGCTGGCAGCAATGAAGGCTAACAGAAGACTGGGATGTATCAGCAAGAGCCTAGCCTGTAGATAGAAGGAAATAACTCTTCCCCTTTACTCAGCACTCGTTAGACCCTGTGAGGAATACTCTCTCCACGATGGGCCCTGCAGTACAAGAAAGATGTTGATAAACTGGAGCAAAGCCAGCAGAGGGGCCTTCAAGATGGTCGGGAGCTGAAACACATGACCTGTGAGGAGAGGGTGAGGAAACTGGGCTTGTCTAGCTTGGAGAAGAGATGTCTTCAGAGGGACCCACCAGCACCCTTCTGATACCCGTTGAGAAGATGGAGGCCAATTCTTTACCGAGGCGTGTGGTAGGAAGACAAGAGAAGACATGGTGGGAAGACAGGTTCCCAAAGTTGTTGTCATCACCAACCTGCTCTGAATTGAGTGTTAATCCTGCTGAGTGGGAGGCTGGACCAGGTGACCTCCTGAGATCCCTTCCAATCTAAATGATTTTGTGGTAAGCATTGTGCTAATCAGCAGTCCTCTGTTTTACCAGGTCAAAAATAAACAAAACAACTTACCAACCAAAACTACAAGCCTGTATTTGTCATTAGGTTGTCGTCTATATTTTGCAACTTCTTCATATGTTGGGATATCTGCTGTATCATACTGATCGCTCTTCTTGCACTCATACATAGATTTGTTTGTTTTTTTATCTTTTCTGCTAAGACGAAAGCTTCTTCTAAAACCAGCTGCAATAAGAAGAGGATTTTTTCAAAGTAAGAAAATAAGTCTTCTCAAAATATTTGAAAACAGTTTCTTCCAAACATTTGAGGATTGGTGCATGGAATAAAAAAAATATTACATGTTTAATAAGCCAGGTCATTAGAATGATATTTTCCCACAGTTTAAAACTGTATCAGGTACCTATTTAAACTGCAAAATTAAGATTACCAATAAAATCATAACAGTTGCAACAAAAAGCTGTAAAATATAATTACAATAAGTTGCTAACATATTTAGATAATTTGAGTATCTTATATGTTCTTATACACAAGGAAAACATTCATGCAATCTGGACTCTCATACCACACTTAATGCATTTCTGTTAAATCACCATGGCACACAGACATCAAATACGACATATGGTAGAAACACATCTGGTGGTTGAAAGGGTTAATGAGAATTAACTCCTTGAACAATATTTTTGTGCTTAGCTCCATGCTGATAGCATTAAAAAAAGTGCACAAAACCTTTCCCGAAGATGTTTAAAAGTAAAACCAAACACTGTTAGTTAAATTCCAAAACACTATGAAACATCTTAGACAATACAGTACCCATATTATGGATATGTTAGCATGAAATTAAAAGTTAATATCCCTATTAAATTTGCATTTACAATTGCATCAACAGTGAGACATCTACAGTGCCTATCCAGAAGAGTGGAATTTTCATACAGCATTTAAGTACTCTCAAAGCAGATAATCATAGGCATTTTCAAGCAGAACAGCACAAAAAACCCCTAAAAACTAATTTACTCCTCTGTTAATGATTACCTTACAGTTTTTCAAATAAATCCTTTACATTGCATTGCATTACATTTTACTGGTATCTCTGTGGCACTGCTTTTGTTCTAGAAGGAACTACAGGAAGGACTGCAAAGAAGGACTGCAAAGCTGATTTCATTATTTGGGGGTAATAAAGTAAAAAACAAACTCCACTTTAAATACTGGAAAAATCCCAACACTTTTTTTTTTTGCCCAGAACATTTCATAGCACAGTAAACACGTGTAAACTTTTGGTGACCCCAGATTTTTCAGCAATATGTTTTCATAAACTTGTAAAAGCACTTATGTTTAGGTGTTTGAGAAGTAATCATATTACAATTTTTTCTTCAAAGGTAGTATCTGGTAAATTCAAGACTCCGTTCTGCAAATATTTAGAACCAGATCTGAAGCGAAATCCTGCAAGGCTTAGTTACAGGCTTAGCATTTTGCACACACACAGTTCCACTTAGCATAAATCTTTGCAGAACCTGGATCACAGAGGATGTTAACCAAGTTATTTTATTGATGTCAGCTCTATACCTAGGGGAATCTACAACACATGCATACACACAAAAAGGGAAGAAAAATTTCTTTGAGAATACATTGATGTCGACCCATTCATATTCGAAATATTAATACATAAAATGAAAATCAGTGAAAAAGGAGAAGAGCTAGCATTCACAGAAAAGGATGATGACATTTTTAAGAGCTAAAGTATTGTCTAGACTGAGAACGACAAGGGCTGAGATAGAAAAGGGACCAAAATATGAGATATGAAAACATAATGAAACAAACTGAGTTATGTTATTTTATAATTTAAAGAACACTAACACTGAAGTGACTGCAGTCAGGAAAGCCCTGCTGGAGCGCTGACAGCTGTGAGTGTACACACCCAAGAGAGGGCCCAGGAGATCTTGTCTGCCCTAGGGTGAAGTCCGTCATAGAATCATAGATCCTTGTCATGACACGAGGGTGCTACATAACTACATCTAACTGTATAGACAGTTATATAAAGGTTAAAAGTAACATTAGCGATACAGACACATGAAGTGAGTTACAAGTTTCCTGAGGCCTCGTCTAAAAGGCTCCAGATTAAACAACACAACAAAAAATCAGTTGCCCTAAAAGCAAGCTGAAAATTGCTCTGATTTTTTTTTCTGTATAATCATTTTATGGAAAAAAAAAAGAAAAAAAAGAGAAAGAATAATTCTTTACCATTCGCTACTAAACGGTTTACAGAATAAAGAGCTTTGTCACAAAACCCAGAATCCACATACCTGGAAAAGGTAAAAAGTAAGGGTAGTGACCAAATGAAGCTAAACCAATCGTCTCCATTCCAGTTTGGTGTCGACCTTACAAATGCCAAGAGCTCTGTGCCTCTGTGTGGCTGTCCCAAGAGTGCCATTACCAACAGCTTCTTAACCTCGGCTTACATGTCGAACTGCAGAATCTTTAGGAAAAATATCCTTTCTGCAAAATCTTCGTATCAATTCAATCTCTGCTGTTAGGTTTTAGTGAGACCGTTTGTAACTTGTTCCTCTTTTCTCCATCCACTTTATTCAGATTTCATTACCAAACTACCAGGTGGTGGGTTATTTAAGATTTTTCATTCCTTCTTCTCTTAAAAAGAGGAAAAAAAAACCCATTTTGTTTTGGGGTTTTTGTATCAAAAAGGAGAAAATCTTTCAGTGCTGTCTTCAGGCTGATTCATCCCTTGTCACTTTTACAGGCTGCATATAAAGCATCACAAAGACTCAGGTGATACGGTTCCACTGCTAATATGGGTTTCCTTGATTAAAACATTTGATATTTCTGTGACAAACTCACTGGTAAAATGAAAATAGTATTGTTGTCCTGTATATTAAGAAGGTTCAACAACAAGTTCAACTAGGACTTACACATTACAGAAAAGCTGTTATATTAAAAAGAACAAACAAACATGCGAGCCAGAGCTAACGAAGCAGATTTTCAGTACGGCTGATTTCTCTGCAGTGTGCTGAAGATGCTCTGTAAAAGCAACTGAATATTAAAAACCTGAGATACGCTGATTGCTTTGCCACTTTAAGACTACTGTCAATTTGAAAGTTGTTTTAACTGTTCCTCAAAGCAAATCTGAATAGCCCTATAGAGAAACCCAAGAAAGCTTGCTTTAAGCAGCTTGCAAAACCAAGGAAAACGTAACAGTACAGAGAGAAAGGATGAGACTGTTTCAAATATATCCAACATTTTTATGATACTGCTACTGCATTCCTGGAAACATGATTCTCCGTCTCTCACATCTGCCATTATATATCCTCACATATGTGGCTTAACTTTACTATGACCTTCAGAAGCTATTTTATAAAGAACAGTTAGTAAGTATTTTCTATTGAGTTCTGCATTTCTAATTGCATTATATGTTGGGCAGCTATGACTGTGCAAAAAGATTAAGCTGAACTGCAACAATATCATACTTGCAAGGAATAAAAACATTTTTGAACAAGCAAAAAATATTCTGCTAATGTTTGCATATTTTACAGTTTAGGAAAGATGAAAAAAACTTCCTATATTTAAATTAACAATAGAGCATTATTAAAAACATAGTGAAAATCACTACAGAAAGACAAAACCAATACTGATATGCAATAGAAAAATAAATTTTCTGTAAAATGATTAAGCTTAAAAGTAAATTCCTATAAAGAACAAAGGGAAAAAGAATTGCTTGCCCAGAATATTTGATAATATAAACCTCAATGAATATGAAAGGAGCTGCAGGCTATACTGTCTGTGGAATATGGACATCAGAAGAGATTAACCTTAGTTGCCAAGTATGTGGACTATAAAAGGGGGAAATTCTGTCACTAAAGCAACATAAAATTCTGAACATTCAAAAGCTTGCACCAGCTCACTGATTTCAGCTACATGACCAGAAGCCTACTGAACATGCAAACCCATAAACTACTGCTGGAATGTAACAGTTTGGTGAAATAAGCACAGCTGCTGGGAAGAAAATATGAAGAACAAATGTTCTCAAACTACAAATGTCTCCAAACCTTATACCACTTCTCAACATGAAACAAAAATCATAAGCTGCTACTAATAAACTTAATTAAGGCCCAACAACAATCCAAAAGAACCAACTTACATCTCTAAGAAAGAGAATGAAAAAAAACCCTAGAAGAAAAGTGTGGTTATTCTTTTAACCACTAGCAATATACATTTGGTCATCTCAGAACAACATCTTTACATTTACATAGAGAAATACACTTGGACCTCACACAGAAATCCAAACTGAAAACAGGCAATGCATGAACCTGTCTCCCCTAAAATATTTTAAAAGGACGCCAATGTAAAAAGCTTTGCTTATTTAGATTTAGTAATATAATTCTAAAGGAGTGAACAAAAGATTGTGATTATGTTATGTGAATTTAAATCCAAATCTGTTCATGAAAGCAGAAAGTTAATTTCTCAAATTCAGAGAAACTACACTAACAGGAAATACTATCATTTAAATTCACCTACGCTTCACAAATTCACCAGTAAGGCTCCAGAATGCTATAAAGCACTTAGACATGCTTTTGTTCATTTTCATTCACTAAAACAAGTGCTTAATTATGTGTTTAAATTATGTATATTCTTCACTGAATTTAATCTAATCTTACATAATTTAGAGTGAACAAATGCTGTTTAATTGGAAATGCATTTACAGGTACTTTTTGTATTCATATTAGTGACAAAAGTAAGTTTGGTACCGTTGTCATTATCCAGGTTTGTATGAATACAATATTTTTACTAGATATTTCTGGGGTCCCCCCCAAATATTGAGATCTTTTTATACTGGCTCGTGTACCGAGTATTTCTATTGTTACACAGGAACTGCACAAACACAGAGCAGACTTCTTACTCTGTTTGCTTCTGGACTGATTCCCAGCTTGCACATTTAGACAGGGTTAATAAAAATTTAGATTATGTCTGGATTTTTAAGACAAAATTGAGAATAGTAAACAGATGATATTCATCTATATTTACTGTATGTTCATAAAGGTTCAAGTAATGTAACTAGAATTTAAGCTTGGCAAAGGCAAACTCCTAACGTTCTCCCCAGCAACTCCTCAGGAAATTACTGCAGAAACATACAATACTATACTATGATTTAAATATTAGGACTTGGTAAAAAATCATTAAATTTATCTGAGTCACTTTAGAGGGGAGGGTTCAAATGAATA